GTGCCAGAAAAAGACCCACATGAAATGAAATGCAGAAAAGCTGTTTTCCTCCAGCAGCAACTCACAGTGGAGCTAATAGAGAAATGGATGAGCGCCTGCCCTGAACGTGTCCCTCCTCTCTTCCAGGTGAAGTGTGACCAGTACTGGCCCAGCAGGGGCACAGAAACCCACGGGCTGGTCCAGGTGACGCTGCTCGACACCGTGGAGCTGGCCACATATTGTGTCCGAACCTTTGCACTTTACAAGGTTTGCTTTTGATGTTTTTACCTCCTTTCCCCCTTTCCCAATATTGAAGATTCTTTTGAGAAATCACGTATCTGAAGGCTTTATTTATAACTTGATTCCCCTGGCAGCGGTGAAGAGTGAAATAATCCTTCCATTATCCCTCAGCCATTTTTCTCTCTGTCGATTTATTAGTAACTATGGAACCCTTGCTCTGAACGAAAGTTTCGGCAAATGAAGAATAGAGGAGGAAGAACCACCTTTTCCTGTAAAATATAACAGGAGCGCTCCCGATAGTTACCCCTGAAAAATGGAGTGCTTCTCACTTAGGCGTTTTATCTTCCTGGACAAACATTTGTCATTTACAAATAGCTCAGGGTTTATATCTCCAAAAAGTGTATCTTCCCAAAGGATAGTGGGCGGGGGGAGGAATCGAGATGCGCGTTGCCGTGTTACCTCTTCCACGTCACGACTCCTCCTTACAACCAGCGTTTCAGCCCGTGTTCCTACTTCACAGAACGGGTCCAGCGAGAAGCGAGAAGTGAGGCAGTTCCAGTTCACCGCCTGGCCCGACCACGGCGTCCCAGAACACCCGACACCTTTCCTCGCTTTCCTCCGGAGAGTCAAGACCTGTAACCCTCCGGACGCAGGCCCGATGGTCGTGCACTGCAGGTAAGGACCACGGAGAGCACTTGTTTTCCCCCAGGTCAGGTGTGTGGGGAGACAGGAAGCGCTGTGGTTGTGGTTCCTCATTGGATATTCTCTTTCCAATTTTGAATCCTCTGGGATAGTAAATACCTTCATAAATAATGCAGATGGGATTTTTCAGTTAAATGAGGCCTATACTAACAATAAAAGGAAGGATTTGATATAGATCCATATACCTTACCCTCCTGTTTTATCTTTCATCTGAAAATAAACAAAAAATTAAGTGTGCACATGGGCATAAATATATGAACATGAAACAGAAAAGAATTGAGAATTTTTTTATTTTCTTTATTAATTAAGGTATTACATATGTATCCTATTCTTCCCCCTCTCCCCCCCCCCCACTCATGCCCTCACCCCCCTGGTGTCTGTGTCCATTGATTATGCTTATATGCATGCATACAAGTCCTTTGATCTCTGAGAATTAATCTTATAATTAGTTTCCAGTTTCAGCTGTGTAGAGGAATATTTATACACACACACACACACATACACACACACATATATACATACAAATGTATATATGTGTGTGTGTATGTGTGTGTGTGTGTGTGTGTGTGGTTACATATATTACAGTTGTTCGACAAGTTCTTAAGGGCCAGGCTGATATATCCTTTTACCTATAGTAAGGAAAAATGCTAAACTAAATTATATTGTAAACTTACTGAATACACTTTCAGAGAATTTCTTACTGCTTAAGGATGTCTTCTGCATGTTAATATTATCAAGTCACATCTAGACAAATCTGACTGACATCCTCTATATCACCACTCAGACCCTACTTATTTGTTCACATATTTTCAATATGAAACTGAATTCTTTCAGTTTCCTGAGTTCCTGTAAAGTATTATTACTCATAGATTACTAAAGATATCTAGTCACATCCTACTTATTACTATACTAGAGGCCTGGTGCATGAAATTCGTGCACTCGAGAGGTTCCTCAGCCCGGCCTGTGCCCTTTTGCGGTCCGGGACCCCTCAGCGGACATCCCTCTCGCAGTGTGGGACTCCTCCCTCCTTACCGCCCACCTGCAGTGGAAGTGGGAGAGGCTCCCTCCACCGCTGCTGCACTCGCCAGCTGTGAGCCAGGCTTCTGGCTAAGTGGCACTACCCCTGTGGGCATGCACTGACCAACAGGGGGCAGCTCCTATGTTGAGTATCTGTCCCCTGGTGGTCAGTGTGCGTCATAGCAACAGGTAGGTCTGCCATTCAGTCGATTTGCATATTAGGGTTTTATTGTATAGGATAAATGTATAGTCATTGTATCTTCCTAATAGTTTTTTATAAACTAAGTAGTTCAAATATGAGAGACTATGGCTTCTTGCACAGAAAACTAAGATTGCAGTGTGCAAGTATATTAGGAAGGAAACAAAGCTTCTACCAGAAACCCAGTTCTATGATGATTTAATAGCATAACTCTCTATTTTTACAAAAAGATGGGACAATAATAGACCAGAATAAGAGCAACAAAATTCATCTGACTAATCCATGCTTCAATAGTAATAGTTAAACAATGGACTGCAAATTCTAAACAAGATAACATTGTAGTTCTCTTTTCTGGCAGTTATTTTTCCCAACAAAAGCAGATGGTAACATTACCTAATATTTATAGAGTTTTGTACAAATTCTAAACCACTCCCCCCATGCTTTATTTTGTCTTATGTTTTTAATGACAGTATGCTGGGTGAAGAGATGGTAACACAAGAGAGACTATAGGGTTCGGTGCAAGTACTGGTAGCTGCAGAGGTGGAGGAGTCCAGTCGATCTCACCTTCTAATCTAGGTCTCACTCTGCTGTAACCACGACAGGGACCTTTGAGGACCCGCCACTGTGGTGTGGTTTTTTGCATGATTCTTAAACACTAGAAATTATTAATTTGAGCAAATGCTTTCGCAGCATGAAAGCAGATTTCTGGTTCTCCTTCCCATTGATTTCATCAGGTGCTAGTTTGAACAGTATAATGTACCCTCTTACACATCTTAGCAGGCCTCAAAGAGACATAGTGCCTGATTACAAGGAGTTCCTGCCTGGCACGAGCTTAACTTCATTATGAGGGTCACACGTTAAATCATAAAATGTTTTAAGATGGAGTTTGGGCACAGGAAAGGGAAATAGGAAGTTTGAGCTCACTGAAGAAATGGCGCCCTTATATACCTAACGGCAAAAATGCAGCTCACACAGAGATGTGTGTGTGTGTGTGTGTGTGTGTGTGTGAGATATATATATCCTAACTTGGAAGTCTTTACTGACAAAAAGCAGTATTATATGTCCATTGCATTTTGAAATACAGCATGTTTACTCTCTCAAAGTTTTCTGTAAATTAAAGTGAGGTTCTGGAAAACTAAGATGATTGATAGATGATAGATAGATAGATAGATAGATAGATAGATAGATAGATAGATAGATAGATGATAGACAATTTTTAAAATGCCATTTACTCTTTGTTGATCGTAAGCAGGGCATAAGGCTTTATGCTAGATACTTAGACCTACGAAACAGTGTTTAAGCAATTGGGAAGGGAAAGATAGATAACTGTAATGCCTTATTTTGAGAAAATACATACCCCCACCCACTCCCACACTCCCCTAAGTTATGTTAAGCCACCTGCACTCAGCTGGGAGAGAGATGGATGGCTCAGGAGAAACAAGGAAACAGAGATGAATGTGCAGAGCTAATAGCTGCTGACATTCGGAAGTGCTATGCCTGAGGCTCTGGAGAAGCTGGTATGGAAACAAACAGCAGAAGGGCAGGTATATTTGGTGGAAGAAATTTGTCAGCAACTACAACACAGTGAGGGAAAGATGCAGCATAAACTGAACTCCGGGAAATGACCTGTGTTCACCCGCAGGTAACCTCATGTGTCTGGTGAGAAACCTTGGCCTCTTTATTTAGGAGCGACCATGTCCATGTTGCCAACACTCAAACCATCATGAGTCTTGGGCACCAGAATGTTAAAAGTCGTGAGCGTAATTGTTCTGATAGGGTGGCAAATTCAAGTCATTCCAGATAACAACTGCTCATGTGCATCCCAGAAATGCTGGTGTAGACATCATCTCTGAGCAGGAAGGCACCGTGCGGAAAGGTACATGAGCCCAGTCACAAGGAAATGCTGATGGTAGTTCAAGGGTCGTGGCGCAAGTCATCACACCAGATAGTCTGGAATATATACACTGTACTTTATGCTGTGATGTTTCTAATAATGGATTTGCATTGTTTTCTCTTTACTGAAGAAGTAGTGACAAACTCGAAGTAAACCCAAACCTTTACCCGGGAGATCCTGTGAGAATGGAGGAGGTTGTACAAGTCTGGTGTAGACCAAAAAAAGGGGGGGGGGAGTAGGGGGGGGCAGGAAAAAAGAAAATTCACATTCCTTCAATAGTTTTGTGTAGTAAAAATATGCCAGGACTAAAGAGTCATTATAAGTAGAAGGAATTCTAACAATAATAAGAAGAAAGTACTGTAAGGATAGACTAATGAACAAGCATGGACAAAAGCTTGGAGGGTCACAGGGAAGGATACATTCTACCCCATTCCTAAGAGAGAGCCCGTTCATTCGGTGTAGAAGGAAGGATCAAGTCTAGCTGTCCCTCAGTTCAGGCCAAGCATCTAATCGCAGCATTAAGAGTGCCCTCTTGGAGACAAAGGCTGCCTGGGTAACGCGCTGGCTTGTTCTCTCATTGGCTGTGTGCCATTTGGAAAGTTCTTATCTGTTAGATTCTGTTTCTTCACAGAAGGGGTAACTGTTTATAGCAATAAGAATTTTAACTTCTTAAATGGTATTATACACATAAAGCGCTTAGGACACAGTGCCTAGTTTGGAAATATGCAATAATGTGACATCTTTGATATATTAATTAATGAGTGAGTCTTAAAAACCATATGTATATTTACAGCTCTAGGGAGAAAAATTCAACATGAACTTAGGTCATCTATATTACCTGAGCCATCTGTCCTATGACTAACCAAGTGTTTATAAATACCCATATATTGAATTGAATGGATTATTTTTTTTAATATAGGTATTTTCCATCATGATAATGCCATCTGATTTTTCATAGTAACAGACAACATTTTGAAGCTATGAGTTAGAATCATTTAAACAATAAATCTGCTCTCATAACGACCTGAGAAACCATTGGACTCTTAAAATGATGCTGTTAAAGATACAGAGAAATTAATGTGGAGGTTATTGATGCCTTCAAGATAAAGTTAGAACTTAGCGTTGTGTTCATGGCCCTTATAACCTAGACCAGTGGTCAGCAAACTGTGGCTCGCGAGCCACATGCGGCTCTTTGGCCTCTTGAGTGCGGCCACGAAGTTTCAATCGTACTGTACGTGCGCACCTGCACGTGGCTGAACATTTTAAGTACTTTCATCACTGGCTCTCAGCAAAGGATATTCGAACAATCTAGAATCTTACCTATTCCCCTTCTCTATCTGCTGATGTTCAGCCTTGTTTCATAATCCAACTCAGAGAGTATTTCTCATGTGCATTGCAAAGGTTGCAAACTGGCCTCAGATGGCTTTGTTGATATAAAAGTGATAGTTTTTGTTTTTGTTGTAAACAAATTGAACTTGAGTGCTTTTAAGCTGGAATGCACTATCCAGTTCTCCAAACCGTCACCACTCCCTGTTGTTTTACACACAGCTCAGCTCTCCATTTATAGGAATTGCTTCATATTATAAACATTTGAGGTGAAACCCTGGAGAAACCTTTAAAGGTCATTCCCCAATCCTTTCCCCACTGGAAGAATTAAACAGTCTTCTCTGAGCTCGCATAAAGGATTGTGTTCACACTTAGTATCTTTAGCTTTCTGTGTGCAAATCGCACATGCTGTGAAATCTTAGAGGATGTGGACTATGCATTATGCACATTTGTACCGCTGCTCCTACATCATGGTAGGTGCTCAATACTCGTGTGCTTAAGTTAGTTGAACTCTATATGGCACTTTAGGAAATTTTG